TATTCGATCCCAATATTTCACCAATATAGAACCTGGTAGTTTTTGAAATTAGCAAGGATGTGCTTGATTTGTTCTGCAGCCCCTGTCATAAAAAGATTTTACTCTCTCTGGTCTCTGTTCTTCAAGTTTGCCTTTGATTGATTTCATGTAATCTTTGATGTACTTCTTGTAGGCTTCTTTTGTGAAGCTGGTTTCCTGCAGGTGATGGTTCATGACAATATCAACACCAGTGATCACTGTGCTTTCGGTACCTTCGCCCTCCGGGCCTTCGGCGGAGGCATTCCCACCGATGAGCGAATCATCAATGTTACCCTCTGTCCTACTGACCATCTTCCCCTCCACCTCCAGGCACAGTCCGCCCGCGATCTCCCGGATCTTGTAGATGTCGGAGAACATCTCATCGTGGCTGATGAGGTCCCGGTAGATAATCATGATGGCGGCTGGTAGGAGACGACAGCGGCGGCGCTAGCTTGGCAGGAGCCCGGAGCTCAGAGCGAGCGCGGTGCAGCCGGAGCGGCCCTCGGGGGTAGGGGGGAGCGGGCGGAAAAGTCACATTACACTCCTTCAATGCTGCTGATTTCAACCACAGCACTGAAGGCCGGTCTGTAGAAGTTCAGACTCTTCACTCTCTACCAGGATCTTGCTGCAAGCTCTTGCCAGTGCCTCTCTGCATTCTACTCCAATGCCTTCTCCAGCACACACATCTCCCAGTTGGCTTGCATGGCGCAGCTCAAAGGTGCTGGGACAGGGGAGGGATAAATCCCCAGGGTATACCTCTCAAAATTTCCACTCTCCCATCTTTTGGGTGGATCATTCTGCTAGGCATTCCACTTAGACTTCTTAGAGGTTCTGGCAAAATCCCAGGCTTGTTGGCTGTAGCAGGGCTCAGAAAAGTGTGGTATACTGTTTCTCCTCCTTCTTCATCTGACTCTCTGTCCCTTGCTACTTTTTTCCCCCTTGCTTCTTTATCTGACTTTCTGCCTCTTAGACTCAGCTTCCAGCAAGATACACAGCAGACTCATAGAATGGCAGATGTCCTAAACAGCACTCTGGCCTCATAATCAGCCCTTAAGTCATGCGGATCTGGCTGAAAAGCCCATGAGAGTATTTCAGGCATGGAAAGCCAAGACACTCTGGCAAAAAAAAAAAAAAAAAAAAAAAAAAAAAACACCACCTAACTGAAAGATCTCTGCGAGTGAGATCCCAGTGGAAAGAACAGGTCATCAAAGAAGGAGGTACCTTTCTCTGAAGGGAGAAAAGAACTTCCACTCTGACTGCGACCTTGTCTAAATATGATCACAGTCAGTGAACTCAAAAGGCTTCCATAGCCTTGGCAGCTCATGACAAGAGCCTAGGGTGATTACTGAGGCCATAAACAAGAGTGTCAATTTGCTAAGTCAACAACAGGAGTCACTGTGCACTTACTCCTCATGTAGGATCTCTGTCCTTAATGTGCTGTACATTGTGATTTAATGCTATAACTAGTACTCAAACAGTATTTTTCACTTTATGTTTCTATGTGGGTGCAAATTGTTGAAATCTTTACTTGATGTATGCTAAACTGATCTTCTGTATATAAAGAGAATTGAAAATGAATCTTGATGTGAATGGAAGGGGAGAGGTAGCAGGAAAGGGGAGGGTTGTGGGTGGGAGGGAAGTTATGGGGGGGGGAAGCCATTGTAATCCATAAACTGTACTTTGGAAATTTATATTCATTAAATAAAAGTTAAAAAAATAGAAATGAAAAAAAAAGAATCAGCTTCCAAATAAACTAGCTGCATTCAGGTCCTTATTCTAGGAAAGAGAATCTTAACTAAGATATCATCTTTTTTTTTGACTGGCATATTTGATATCAGACAAAGTGTATTTTAATACAAACCTTTTTTGGGGGGCAAAAAATAGTATATGGTGATAAAAGGGTCATTACAAAGCAATGACACAAAAATCATAAACACATATACTTCTCCTAACAGAATACCACAATATGTGATGTTAAAACTTACAGAATTAAAGTAACATATGGACAATTCACAATCATATTAGCAGACTTTATGACACTGCTGCTATAGTCTGAATGTTCATGGACCTCCAAAACTCAGGTGTTAGTGTTGAAGTTTCTTTACTGATGAGATAGTATTAATAGGTGGGGCCCTTAGACATTGATTAAGTCATAAAGTTAGAACCCTTATCAGTTAGACTAGTCACTTCATGAAAGAAGTATGGCCGAGCTTTTTCACTTTCTGCTGTGTGAAGATATCATCCTTTTCCCTTCCTTCCCAAAGATGCTAAGTGCATCCCCTTCCCTTTGTAGAACACTCAGTTGCCTAAGTTAGCCATTGTGTATCAGTGCTGATCGAGTGCTGGGCAGCACTGTTGTGGGGGGATTTTGACCACCATAGAGCTACATTCTAGTGGAGGAGACAGAAGATAAGCTCGATAAATAAGTAGAATATTTGACTTTATAGGTTCTAAGGAGAAAAATGCAGGGGAGATGAGAAATAGGCTGGGGAAGAGGTGGATGCAAGTTCTGATTGTGTGGCCTGGCAAGCCCTAATTGAAAAGTTCTCATTTGGATAAAGATCTGAAGAAGGTGAGGGCATAGGCCATGCCAGTAACTATCTGTAGGAAAAAAAATGTTCCACCTGAGGAATTACCACATGCATGGTGGGCACAATCTTGGAGCGTTAGGAATGCTGAGCAGACCAGTGTGACTGAGCAAGGTGAGGAGGTGGGGGGAGAAAGAGACATGGTCAGAGAGGGAACAAGGTGCTAGCTGACACAGGGACTTGGATGTCTTTGTTATTTACAATGAGTTTGATGGGTGATGGCTGGAGAATTTTCAGCACAAGGATCTCAGCTTCAAAAAGATTGTTCTTGATAGCTGTACTGAGTAGACTTAGAAGGACAAGGTTGGAAGCAGATATCAGTAAGTTGTTGCAATAGTTCAGGAGAAATACAAAGGCAGCTTGTTCCTGAGTCTTAGCAGAGGAGGTGTTGAGAAGCGTTTGACTCTGAATATACACTGAAGCTGAAGTTGATGGAATTTGCTGATGGATGGGATGTGAGGTGTGACAGAGGTGAGGAGTCATGGACAATTCTGACGCATCTGGGGGAGAAATTGGAAGAATTGGACTTGCCATTTGCTAAGCTGGAAAACTGACAAGAAGGGAAGATTTGAGGGGATCTATCAAAGTTCAGTTTTCCACATAATAAATACAGGTTGCCTATTAATTACTCTCAAGGGGGGGGGTTTCAAGTAAAGAATATGATTACAGAGATGAGTTTGTTCTTAAATAAGAAACACAGTAAGAACTGGAGATGAAAATCAGAGAATCACTAGTATTTACATGATATTTTATTTATTTATTTATTTTTTGACAGGCAGAGTTAGACAGTGAGAGAGAGAGAAAGAGAGAAAGGTCTTCCTTTTCTGTTGGTTCACCCCCCGATGGCCACTGTGGCCCGCACGCTGCGCTGATCCAAAGCCAGGAGACAGGTGCTTCCTCCTGGTCTCCCATGCAGGTGTAGGGTCCAAGCACTTGGGCCATCCTCCACTGCACTCCCGGGCCACAGCGGAGAGCTGGACTGGAAGAGGAGCAACCGGGACAGAATCCGGCGCCCCGACTGGGACTAGAACCTGGGGTACCAGCGCCGCAGGTGGAGGATTAGCTTAGTGAGCAGTGGCGCCGGCCAACATGATATTTTAAATCTTGGAACTGGATGGAATTCCCCACAGAGTATGAGACTGACCATATATAGATACAAAAGAGGAGCGATATAAAGATAATAGATAAGCCTTCCAGGGTTGTTGTAACAAAATACCACAGACTGGTGGCTGAAACAACAAATATACATTTTCTCACAATTCTGAAGCTTGGAAGTCTGAGACCAAGGTGCCTGCCTTCTTCCTGTGGACATGGCCTTTCCTCTGTGTATGTATATACTTGCTATTGGATTAAGGCTCTCCATTATGACTTCATTTAATCTTTACTCCTTTATAGGACCTATTCCAAATACAGTCACATTCTAAGACAGCAGAGGGTAGGATGTCAACATATAAATTTTAAGAGTACACAGTTCTTTCTATAACAGATGGATATCTTGGACATTCTGCAGTTGGGTTGGTGGGGAAATGAGAAGAAATAGACCAATGAGACTGAGATGGAAAAGCAGATATAAGAGAAAAAGAAATCGTAAGAAGCAAAGAAAATACATTAGGAAGAAATGAAAGGGGTCAGAGAGGTAACAAGGGGCAAAAGAATGCTGACAGGTCAAGCAAGAAGATGACTGAGGGCTGAGTATTGAATTTAGAAAGGTACTCTTGATAAGTGTAGTGAAGTAGAGTGATGGGGAGGACTTGACTGGAGTGAATTTAAGATTAAATAAATGAAAGGAAGTCAGAGACAGAAAATATAGCCACACAAAGTGTGTTCTCAAGATGTCTGAGGAATGTTTTCATAGCAAGCTGGGAGGCCAGATTCAAGTTGAATATTCTCATTCGTCTTGAGACAACTCCAGCAAAGAGTTTTCTTTATTTCCTGCCTCAGATTTCCCCTCCTTTATTTAATCTTTATTCTAATCCAGTGAGGTGCTCAACCCATCACTCATTAAAGGATGATGGGGTATGCAGAATTCCTACTGTGATCATATAAATCTCCATCCATTCAATTCAGTCTTACGAATTGCCTTTGTCCAGATCTACATGGGCTGTAGTAACTATTCTCCCTTGGTTGTTTTCCATATCCTGAGGGTTGTGGCAAACATGATAGGAAGTAATCACACTTTCATAGAAAGGACACATCTCCCAGCTGTTTAGCTCCTTTAAGATAATAGAGGAGCAGGCCTTGCTCAGATGGCGAAACCTTGGAGACATCTGCCTTGAATGCAAATGACCCCTTCCCTTCCTCTCAGCAGAGGCCAATCTAAAGTAAGCGGGTTATTCCCTTTTATTGTTGAACATTGACTACAACACTTGTTCACTTGCTCTTGGTCTACTTTTTGTCTGCCCTAAAATACTTATGGGTATCTTTCCTGCCTATTCCATGGATCTGGGATAGGTGCCTTCCTTCCCCTAGTCACAGAAGGAGTGGTGTGGGTGCATGAGGCATGTGACTCTAGACCATTTAGAAGATCCTTGCTAAATCTTAGCTTCTGAGTGGAGAAACACTTAAGCTCAAGGTGGTGTGGCCTGATTTGTTCTAAAGGAAGCACCCAAAAAAGACGTGTCACTGCTACTTAACTCTAAGGGGGAACCGTTTATCTTGTCCTTGCCAAGGCCTGTTGAATTGGCTTTCTTTTTGTTCCTGTGAGCTAACCAGAATCTTTCCAATGAGTTCTTTTGTTTACTGAAGTTGTCAAGAATTGCTTGTTATGAAAGAATCTTTTTTTTTTTTTAAGATTTTTATTTATTTACTTGAAAGTTAGAGTTACAGAGAGAGAGAGAAGGAGAGGCAGAGAGAGAGAAAGAGAGAGGTCTTCCATCTGCTGGTTCACTACCCAGTTGGTCACAATGGCCGGAGCTGCACTGATCCAAAGCCAGGAGCCAGCAG